TCCTGGGGGCAGAGGATCCCTCATTCACCAAGCACCTTTCTGGTGGTAAAGTTGCCTTTGCCCTGAAATATTTTCTAACCATCAAGCTGTAGGAAAAAGTAAATATAAAAGAGTATTTAGTGGCATCTACTTCCTAAACAACATGGCTCTGGAAACCACCTAGGAACTTAAAGAAATGAAAAAATTTATAGAAAGGCTTCAGTTCTTTTGTTCATAGAGTTACTATGAGTAATGCTCAACTCAACGGCAATCAGCAACAATGTTTAAAGTCAAATGAGACTTTTTCCCCTATTTAACACTTTGCCTCAAATGATGGTAATGTATCAAAAAAATGTATTTCTAAATATGACTGTCAATTTAAAAGTGTGAGGCAACGTGTTAAGAATATTTGTGAGCATCATAATGTTTTAAATTATATGGAATAGTCAAAGAAAGATACATTATTACAATGTATAGTGTTGATGCTGTGAAGTTTTAAACAAAAGATTTAGAGATCAATGAAATGAAAAAGTTTTGTTCTCATAATAGAGGCAAGCATATATCCTTTTAAAAGACTTTAGAGCTTTTACTTTTTGGGAAACTAAACATAAGGACATTTAATGAGGTATAATGATGTTAGGAAGGGTGGAGGGTCTGCAAAGGAGAGGAAGACCCTCAGCCGGGTGGACTGACAGTGACTGCTGCAATGAGCTCTTGTGTGTCAGGTAGTGTGAGGATGGCACAGGATAGAACAGGGTTCAGATCTTTTGTTCACAGGGTCGCTGTGAGTCCTACTGGGCTTGATGGCATCTAACAACAACAATGCAATAATGTAAAGCTAGGAGAATAATGGTTTCTGATCGTGAACATAGTGAAGACACATTTTCAAGTAAAATGTTGACTCGTGAGTAAAAAGAATTAATCAAGGTTTGAAGAGGTGACTTAGGTAATTATGGCTCTTGAGTAAGTCTTTTGGGTCAAGTCAACCTGTATGCAGAGCAGATTATCTGGGAGGCTGAGCTCTATGAGGAGAATTGCGGTATCAGGATTGGTGGAAGGTCTATTAACAATCTGTGTTATGCAGATGACACAACCCTGCTTGCTGAAACTGAGGAGGACCTCATGTACTTGCTGCGGAGGGTCAAGGACTGCAGCCTTCAGTATGGACTGAGGCTCAATGTCAAGAAGACAAAGATTCTCACCACTGGACCAATTGGCAGCGTCAGGATGGATGGTGAAGAGATTGAGATTGTTCACAGCTTCAGTTTGCTCGGCTCCACGGTCAACACTCTTGGCACCAGCAGCCAGGAAATCAAAAAACGTATTGTGATGGGAAAGTCTGCTGTTAGGGACCTCTCTAAAGTACTCAAGAGCAACGGTGTCTCTCTGGAGACTAAGGTCCGCCTGATACAGGCCATGGTTTTTGCAATTACTTGTTATGCATCAGAGATTTGGACAATGACTATGGAGGACAGAAGGAGAATTGATGCCTTTGAGCTGTGGTGCTGGAGAAGAGTATTGAATGTACCATGGATTGCCAAGAAAATGAACAGATTCACCCTTGAGAGGGTTAAACCAGGCTACTCCTTGGAGGCAAGGATTCTGGGGCTTTGTCTGACATACTTTGGACATGTTGTAAGGAAGAACAGGTCCTTGGAGAGGGACATCATGCTTGGGAGGGTGGAGGGACTGTGCAAGAGGAGAAGACCCTCTATGAGATGGATTGATTCAGTGACTGGGGTAATCAGGATGGGTGTGTCAGAGGCAGTGTGATTGCCACAGGATAGAGCAGGGTTTAGGGCTGTTGTACATAGGGTCGCTATGAGTCGCAAGCGACTTGACAGTACATAACAACAACAAAAACAACATTTTGTTTGATCCTTAATACAAAAGATTGGTTAAAGTAACCAGAAGGGGTTTAGTGTTCACACCGCATAATAAAATACGTTAATTTTTCCCATTGTCAAAATTCTTCAAATTTAAAGAGATTGATGCACATTTAATTAGTTACAATGAAATGTTGGCTTTGTCAGACTAGTGTAAAATGAAACTTTGTAAAGGGAAGCAACCTGGTTGCTGCTGTTGGGGTTTTTTTAAGCCATTAAAAAAATTTAAAAACATTATGTGGTTAGGCCTCAACTATTTTTATCTCACTCAAAAACTCATTGCCTCAGGCTTGGAAGAGACTCATAACTGATATTCCATTGGATTTGTGAGGCTGTCAGAAGCATGGAGATTGGAAGGAAGGAGATTGCCTACCTATCTTTCTACCCTTGAGCTGTTGGTTTATTCAAACTGCTAGAGGTAGGGCCTTGGCATTAGCAAGCAGCACAACTCTTTCAGACTTCTTCACTTCTGCTCAAAGCTATTTTTATAGGAGTACATAAACAGTGGTGGCCTAGTGGCAAGACCTGTGTTGGAATCATGAAAGCATATGCCTTGAAGCCACTTGCTGCTCTATGGGAGAAAGATAAGTGAGTTTAACTGCCTCTGAAAACTTGTCAGAGGGTCCCCTATGGGTCCACACACCACCACCATGGGAGATAAGTGGGCCAGCTCGTCTATGATGATAAACAACAACATAAACACTTGAAAGATTCAAATAATAAAAAATGGAACTGTACTTGTAATTTCTTCAATGTTTATTAAACTACCCTTTATCTGTGGGTTTATGATAAGTCATCAGAAAAAGATGTCAAATTGGATATTCTTCCATAGCCATGGGAGTGCAACACTAAAAGACTGTTTTTATCACCTGTCAAGTCAGTTACAATCCGTATGTGAGCCCTGTGTGACCAAGAACTACCTCATTGGGTTTCCAGGCTATGATCTTCACAGATTTACTGTTGGATCTACTGGTGAGTTCAAACCATAAAACTTTCAGTTAGCAGACAGGCACGTGAGACCCCTGTACAAGACATGAATCCCCAGTTAATTTTCCTCCTTTCTGCCCTTAGTATCTCACTTCCTGTCTGCAAAATGACTAAAGATATTAATTTTAAAAGAGCACATTCAAATATTCCATTATTCAAATACTTCATTTAAATAGTACAGGAAAGGAAATAACGGAGTATTTAAAATTCAGTCTGTTTTTCTAAGCACATTTTTAAATGTTCTTTTCTGCACCTCATTAAAAGAGTTAAAAAACTGAGAGGAGGTACAATTGAACCACATTTATCTAATTTCATAGAAGGCATTTTCCGCAGGCATGATTCACTTGGCCTACATATTTAAAAATTTGGGAACAGCTATACTAAAAAAGAAAAATATGCAGATTTTTGGCTTAACAAGTTAGACCTCTGGCTGCGGTACAACCATATTCATATGTGGCTCATGACTGGGGTTGAGTGTGGTCTCTCCAACTGCCTACCACCTAAAATTCTTGTACTAATATCGCCTGGTCTACTCCTTAACTACTGTCCTGCTCCACGAACTGGGATGGCAGAATTTTGTCCTTTAGGAAATTGAGGGAGTTCTGGTGGCGTAGTCTGTAGGAAGTTGCGCTTACATAAAATCTGTTTCCTGGTAGTTCGAATTCAATATGCGCAGCAGAGGAGGATTGGTAATCTCCTGTGCAATTGACAGCTTTCTAAGACCTGCTGAATCAGTTTAAGACTCGATGGCAATAAATTTGAATTTTATGAAACGGAAGCAACTTAATTTTTTTCTGAAAACATTCTTGTTATACGGAGGTAAAAATCCCAGTGACTGATTTTGCTTCCCAACAGTCCTAAATCTGCCTGTTTTCAGGTGTGATCAATGATCTGACTCTTTACTTTCCCCAAATGATCAAAGGAGCATTAAGGACCAAAGGACAGGCGCTGCAGTCTCAGTTCGACCAGGAGCCAGCCAGCTGTGTGACCTTGGGCCAGTCTTTAAGCTGTCTTTAACCAAAGGTGAAGTAAGTCAAAGTCTGTAAAAAGAATTTAACACCTGCTCTGATTACCTCACACCTTTGTTACACAGTAGTGGCGATTTTTAAAAGTACTGCTAAGTAATTTGAAACCGCCAGACACTTCCCAGCACAGGCGTCCTTTTTTACAGAAGAGATGACACCGTGGTTTTGGAAGTCCAGTTACCAGAATCCGCTCCTGCTGTGCGGCTGCTGCCACTTCCCACGCTCAGGGTGGGTGATCAGGAGTAGCGTCTCCAGGGAGAAAGTCTAAGAAACCCGCTGGAAGTGCACTGAGAAAAGTTCTCGGAGGAAGTTAAGCGGTTGGCGGCATTTTTAAGCCCCAAAGTGGCATACCGATTTCTAAGGGCGATGACAAGCCAGCGCGCCCATGGCTAGCGCGGGAACCAGGCCCACCGGCCTGGCCCGAACCTTGCCTGCAGGGGACCCCGGACCCTGGGGGACTCTGGACCTCGCCCTGTTCCCCAACCCCCACCATCGCCCCCACCCCCATTTTCTTCCACGTGACAAGAGCCGGAACCGTCATTTCCGGCGGCGCGGGCAGCGCGCCTGCGCCGGGGCCCTGCCTCAGTGAGCGGTTGGCAGCAACCGCGCCGCCAACGGCCGCGCGTGGCTGGCGGCGCAGGTCCGGCGAGGCGGCCAGGCGGGCTGCGGTCCTGAGGGTGTGCGGCCTGAGTTCCAGTCCACTCCCTGGAGGGGCTGGCCGCCCCGCCCCCTGCCGTGGGCCCCTCCCTCCTTCCCTCCTCCCGGGCTCGCGCTCCCAGGCATTTGGAAGGCGGAGAGGGCAGCCGGGGCAGTTGCGGAGGCGGTGGCGTCGCCCCCGCATTCGGGCCCGCCCCCTCGCGCCCCGCCCCGTCCCCGCCCTCCGCTGCCCTCTGCGGGGAACCGGGCAGCTGCAGCGGAGCCGCGGACAGGGCGGCGGGGCTTGCGTTGTGCTCTCTTCGGGGCGCGCGGAATGTGAGGTTCGGCGGGCCGCAGCGCGCACGGACGCTCGGACAGGCGTGGAGCTGCGACCCCTCGCGGACGTTCGGCTGCCGGCCAGGTCGCGGACTCGCCCTCTGGATCGCCCTTGCGCGCGCTCCGCGCCCTCCTGCGTCCCGGCGGGACCATGAAGAAGTTCTCTCGGATGCCCAAGTCCGAGGGCGGCGGAGCGGCGGCTAGCGGGGCTGGCGGGGCAGGGACCGGCTCCAGCTCGGGCGGCTCGTCCGTAGGGGTCCGGGTGTTCGCGGTCGGTCGCTACCAGGTCACCCTGGAGGAGTCATTGGCAGAAGGTACGGCCACCAGCGAGGCTGGGGCGGGCAGGTGAGGGAGGGCTGGGGTGTGGCAGTGGCTTCCCTTAGTTCTCGCCGGTTCCTCGTCTCGCCCCGCCGGCTTACTCTTCTTGTCTTTCTGCCTCTTGTGCTGGGCCAGCAGGGGCTCTTAAGTCTCGAGCTTTCATACTTAAGCCGGTTTTGCTGCTCGCTGGCAGCTCTGATCAATTCACGGGTCTCTCATTAAGACTTTAAATCATTTTCAGTCCTCCTTGATGCGAGGAAATAAATAGAAAACGACCTAGCAAGTGATGTGGTGTCGTGATTGGATCAGTGACTCATTAGCGGGTCAGATCGCGCAGGATTGAGCCTCAGCTCTGCCAGCTGTGGCTCAGGCGGGTGTCATGCGTTGACTTCTAGGTGCGATTCTCCGCTGGCTCCTCCGGGCTGAGGACCATGTAGCTCCCCTGGGATCCTGTCTTCGTTTGCTCTTGCTTGTTCGAATGTGTTGTGAGGGTGCTGCTTTTCTCCCCGAAATTAATTTAGTAATTTGCTTTAGGAGAGCAGGTACATTTGAAGTTTAGTTTGTTCAGAATCTTCTCTGCTATCTCTTTGATAGTAGTTTATAAACCGATTTGAAAGTAGCTTAGTTTTCACTTGCAAAGTTAAGTTTCCTCGTCCTTCATTATCCCTCAGTAGATTGACAGCAGGCACAAGTATGCTTGCAAAAAAGTTTGCTCCCTTTTAAGATTATACACTTTAGTCTTGTATAATTGGTTTGTAGAAAGTACTTTGTCTTGTTAACAGCATGCAACATTGGCCTTTGTTTTTAAATTGCAAAACGTTATTACAAATACATATATTTTAAAATTAGCTAGGAATGATTTCTGTCCATAAGCAGTGCTTTTTAAGTTCCAACCAAGGTTAAGTGAAAAGGAATTGAGAGTAGTTTTGGTTTTGGGGGGAAAACGCTAGATGAATATTCTACTTGGAGTATTTGGAGTGTCATAAACAATACCAAGTTAGCTTAAGAGGAAAAATTGGGGCTATATTTTTGAAAGGAAGAAATTTTGAATTGATTAACTGTGCAAGCTATTACCTAGAATAACAAGTTTATCTGAACTTGGAGAAGTAGGGAGGATGAATCCATAGCTTCTCAAAACATGATCATGTGATTATTGGTCTCAGTATTCAGATTTACTGTGCTATAAAATTTCCTAATTTTCTGTATAGGTGATTTTCAAGTGATAATTTAGGTTGGGTTGTAGATTCTAAGAACATGTTGCTACCAATTCAAATGCTGTCTTTGAAGTGTATCTTGAGTAGTAGTATACTGACTCATTGCAGTAAAATACAGGTAGGCCTTTACTATATGAAACATTAACATTCATCAAACCAACTTTGCATTTGTAGCTTGTATAACTGACCCAAGTATCCTATTGGTACTTCAAGCAAGTAGGGTTTTTTTTTAATTTTTAAAAATTTTTATTTATTATTTTTTTTAAGCAAGTAGTTTTTAATAACAGAAGAGTAATTTTGGAAAAAAAGAAAGGAAGAATGAAGTCTTTTTTATACAGTCTTCGATGAGGAAGAAGTTACTTTTCAAATACTAATGCCATCGTTAAGGGTGTTCCACTTACATTTGCCATAAATTTATCATTTTTGTTGTTGTTGTTAGGTGCCTTCAAAACAAGTATGACTTAGTGACCCTGTGAACAGAAGATCTAAACCATGTTCTTTCCTACACTGCCCTCACACATCCTGATATACAAGAGCCTATTGCAGCAGTCACCCTGTCAATCCACCTGATTGATCATCTCCTTCTCTGGTCTTCCACCCTTCCCAGACTCATGTCCCTCTCCAAGAAATAACCCCTCCCTCCTAGCAACATGCTCAAAAGTAAGTGAGGCACAATGGAATACTACACTGCATTGAAAAACAAGGAACTCATCCAATATTATTCAAAATGGGTGACCTTGGAGGGCATTATGCTGAGTGAAATACCTCAGTCACAAAAGGACAGGTGCTGAATGTGCTTCTATTGTAGAACGGGACTGACATCAGGGTTGGAGTAAGACTGAGAATAACTGGATAAATTATGTATACTGCATTGAAACAGATAAGGGAGAGAATTGTTTGAAAGCGATATACGATTGGATATTATGGTTATGACAAGAGTCCAGAATGAATGTTCCATAGTGGAGTGTACTCAGGGCCGGGGGGAGGGAATTCTATACCAATGAAAGAATTTTTCTTTTACTTTTCAAAGAGAAGAGCGAACTGGAGGCGGGAGAAGGGTGGGCAGGGAGAGAAATGCA